GACCTTTCTAAATCGTTAACAGTTTAATTATGGAATCCATGTATCGGACCACAAGGCTGTTGTTTTTTTTGTTTTTTCTCACCTCTGTGCCACTGCCCACTCTTGTATCTTTATTTTTTACTAATAGGACACTATTAGGGGCCTTTCTGATAAAACCTCTGCTCAACATTTATTTTTATACATCAACTGCTTACATCGTCTTGCTGCTGTTTTTCCCTGTATATAAAAAAAACTAAGAAAACAATCAAAGCACTTCAAAATAATTACATTGAGGTAGTGAAAGAATGTAGACAAGCTAAAGGTATGAATTAGAGATGAGCAAGTACACCATTATCTGTTCAACCAACTAAATTATCTGTATTTGCATCCATATTTGCAATGAGTGGGGCTTAAACTGGAATTGGGCATAAATGACCAGAAGTTGTTCATTTAAGCCTGAAATTGATATGAGTTGATCAGAAGTTGCTATATTTATTAGAAAACTATTTACAGAACAGCCTCGAAATTGATCTTCAGATCAATGTTTTTTGGTCACAAGAGTAAGAAAACTATTTACAGAACAGGTTTTTTTTTTTATTAAAGTTGCTATATTTTTGAGTATGGATATTTTACTACATTTTACTCTGATGATACTCTGTACTGGATACTCATTTCAGCCGAGTACTCACTTAACCCTAGGGGATGAAAGGAGCTCGTGTTTGGCTGTCATTTAAGTTCAGCAATTCCGTTTTCGCCCTGATAATAATGTATTGTATGTATAATAGTATAATAATGTATGTATACTAATAATGTAGTCTCAGCTATAGCGCTTGGTTTATGCTTCTGAAATTACTGCTACCGCAGCAGAAATGAGTTAGCTACATGCACTGCACTTTATTCATTGTTTATTTATCTGGTTCCCAAATGTCTCTCACCAGGCCAACAGCTGCCCCTGAGGTCCACAGGATTACACTTTTGCCCAGTATGAGGAAGACCCTAAAGTGTCCTACAATATGATAAAGGACTTAAACGGAAATGTCAAAAATACAGTTTAGGATGCAAGAGCAGCTTATCCTCTAACCTTATCTCATAGAACCACCATAACTCTAGGCTGCTTTTCCATATCAGTGATTCATTTGTTAACCTCTCTTCTAATCACACACTGACGTGTCCCCAAAATGTGCAAAGAATTTTAATGTTTATAACCTGCCTTCCAACAACAACAACAACAAAAAACCCCTCTTGGATCAAGCCC